CATGCCACCGGAATGGAGTCTCAGCGTCGGTTGAAAATTAACCGGTACACGGTTAATTCAAATATTTACTTATATTATAGTGTGTTTTTTATTAGGCAAAGGTGATGTAGAGTAGTTTTCTCGCCAATACTTTCACCCTCTCGTACGCGCGGCCCAGACTTGCGCGAGAGCGGTGTCGCTGTCCTGGGATGGAACTTCGCTGGGGAAGCCAGTGGCAGAATTTTGGCGCCGGAGCTTGCTTGGTTGCCGAGTCAAAATACACCGGGCAGACGAACATACACAAACACACACACATATACATACACACACCGGCGTCGTCACTATGCGTTTTTGCATTTGCGTATAAGCAAAAGCGCATGTGCGTCTAAATCTCGTGCATGTACCCTGGAGAAAACATATAATTTTTTTAACGCCAGTATCCAGGCAGGATAGAAGACTAAAAGTTTGCAGAGATATTCTCTGTGCATGTGTGATCTAAAAATTTCAAATGTAGTTGTCGCACAAGCTTGCGTCGTGCATAAGACCACATCAGAGTTCGCAGCTGACAACTGTGCCAACTTGAAAATTAACCCGATATAAATAGCTGAAATTTTGTTTGGATATTTACCGTCGGTCTGAGTTGTCGATGACGATTTTTCTAGCTAGGTGGTGATTTCGCGTGCAAAATTGGCTATGAATCTAAAACTTTGCAAGGCTGTTCTATATTCTCATATGGTCTAAATCCAATTAGAGGCGGAATTCCTGTCCTGCTGGCGAAAATTCTCAATTCTATCGCAAACTCAAAAGCGTGTGCGTTTTGCTGATTTCCTCTCCCTTCTCTTTCGACATCCTCTGCATTGTCAATGAACAACCGTTCACTAGGAGAATGACGGGTCCTCAGGCAAAATTGATAATCATGCACCCTAGAGTTAAAACGATTGCATGACGTCATAGCCGAAGTCCTTTTTGCCCTCTATGCATGGGAAGATAGAAACACAGCCAGCTTGAGCTCATGCACTAAACTCTAAAGCGACAGCCCTTCATCAAGTTAACAATTGACTGCTTCAATTTCAGCGCGAAAATGCATAATTGCACCGACACGCCTGGTGCATCATTAGCTGGACTGTTTATTTGTAGACAAATCTGACATCTAAAAATGCAGGAGATGATCCGGAAGAGCACCTTTGCATTTGCCAATTCCGAAGAATTGCTGGAATTCCCTCGTTTATTCAGTCATAAAGTTGTCTTTATTGGTGGCATTGCTGTGGATACACCGAAACCATTGAACAAGGTTTACAAAATTCATTTTGGTAAAAACGATTTGTGCAAAGACACTGCAGCGAGACGAATCCGGATATAACACTCATCGGGTAATTTGGCCTATGAAGGCGAGAACGCCGAAGTCTGCGGATGATAATCCTTCACCATATGATCTGAAAAAATTGAAACAATTTGCAAAAGCATAAAGTCCTAAAAAATGATGGTGTAATGGTATCCGTAATTTTCCGGACAGAAAAATCGGAAGAGATTTGTTTTGTGAATTAGTGCATAAAAGAAGACGGTAACCGATTAAAAGAGACCATATGGATTGAATAGCGAGACAGGAGAAGGAGCAGGCCGAGGGAAGGAGGAGGGACGGGAGCGGGGTGAGGGGGGGAGGGGGAGTGAGAAGTTAAATATTTGAATTGGACGTTCATATCTCACTTTTGATTTGCGATCTCGGGTTTAAATTAATCAGAAAAGCTGAAATAGAGATCCTTAGGCAGTTTTTGTTCCTTGGTTTTCTTAATACCCAGGGACACCTTATCATTTCCACATCAGTTGCTGCACAAGAACTGATTGGCGTATAGGCGCTCCGATATGAAAATGCACACTGAGACATGAAATTATTATGCGTTTTTGCGTATATGCAAATTGCAAAAACTGTGCGTGTCTGCATGTTCGCACTTTTTGTCACCCACTTTCAACTCGAGATACAGAAAAGCTAGAAGGTTGAAACTCTGGGAGTATGTGCCCATACCATGTAATCCCCCGCGGATGCCGGGTGCCGCGTACGGACGCGTTTGGTGGGAGAGCGATCTCGGGAATCAGAAAAGTTAAAAGACTGAAACTTTGTAGGGATATTCCCTGTGCATGTGTTGGCTGAAGATTTCAAATTTGGCTTCCAGGCATGCGTGGTACTCACGTAAGGGCGTATGAAAATTTTAGCGGGGAAATTATTAACTCGGGATCCAGCAAAGCTAGATGGCTGAAATTTTGGAGCTATGTCCCCTGTCCAAGCACAACTTAAGTATTTCAAATCCAGCCGTCAGGTACGTGTGGTTCTCAAGTAACAGATTTGGCAGAAAAATTGTTAACTCGGCAAACATTTTAAGGGGATGTTCCCTGTCCACGTGCAATTTGAAAATGTCGAATCCAGCTTTCTAAGCGCGTGGAGTACCCAAGTACGGGTATGTGAAGGTTTTGGCGGAAAAATTGCTAACTCGGTAACCAGAAGCTGGAAAGCTGAAATTCTGAGGAAATGTTCCCTGTCCAAGTACAGCTTAAGTATTTCAAATTCAGCCTTGAGGTATGCGTGTTTATTACGTACGGGCACAGAAACTTTTGGCGGAAAAATTTCACTGAACAGCTAGGTTACTTTTAAATAACGATCGTTATATGGAAATTATGTATTTGCTTTATGCAAAACTTATGGTGATTTATGCTGGTGACCGCAAAAGACAGGTGTAAAGCTCTGGGTACCTCAAGTCCGGCGCAAAAACGCCTGATCACACGGACCCGCCCGGTGCCTTCCAGCCTGGGTATTTCCTTGTCGTAATGAGCTTACATTTTCCGAAGCTGTGATTTACTGACATTTTAAACCGAGCTGTTACAATCAGCCTGAAATTGCTAAAATCACACATTTTAAGTTACTTCAGTCTGTTCAGTAGGAACCGTTCGAAAAATAAATCTCACAGTTTTAATTTTCTGTAGTTTAATTTCCTATAATTTCCTATAATTTTCTTTAGTTTCTCTTGCACAAGTCATCTGATCCCGTCTTGTGAAATTAAATATTCGTGCACCGTGCAAATTTCACTGATTCTCACTCCTACCCATAAAAACTGCTTTGCCTGTGCTTACAGCTAAGGGGTAAAAAACAGTCTTGTGGTAATAATTGATCCTATCCGATCATTTCTATCCAACAACTTACATTGCCCGGGGTAAAAAACAGTCTTGTGGTAATAAATGATCCTATCCGATCGTTTCTATCCACACAACTTACATAGCCCGATTAATTTTAAGTCTAAAGTGGTAAACAGAGATTTGAAAGTTCACTGCATTTGTATGAGCCTTAGCGTGACAAGGATTTATAGTTGCGTGATCAGACAGATTACATTCTGCTGTTACTGTTATTTACTCACATAAAAAGACACAGGTATGCATAAAGTTATAAGGTGGATATAGTGCGTGATGGATAGAGTTCATGATAATACATCCGACAAGATGAGTGCCACAGCACTGCAACACAAAAGTTGCGTGGCTAGTGCTGCCTGACACGTCGCACTAAAGGGGTCCTTGTAGAACACACTTAAAACTGCTGTTACAATTTCGAGTCAGTAGAAATACCGGCAACACAGGTAGTTTGCAAACAGCAAACATACTTAACCCGAAGGTCAAAAACATTGAAAAAACAAGAAAAAAATCTGAGGAATGTTCGCTAAGCTCAAGAGATTCCAGTGCATTGCAGAGATATCAAGACATAATGAACAGATCGACGAATGGAGTTGTGCTGGTATCGTTTGGTTCTAATGCCAAGAGCAGCACTATGCCAACACATATACGACAAGCTTTCTACGAAGCCTTCCGCAACTTTTCTGAGGTAAATTTATTTGCTATGCATAAACAGAAGGATTTATGGCATTCCGGCATACACTAGCAAATCGGAAACTCTATTTACTTCATTTTGCGCCGCTAGGCCTGCGTAGCAGCGAAAATGTCAGAAACATTAAAACATATCCAATGAAGCAAGAAACAGCAACTACATGAGCATGGACCGGAAAAAAAACAGCACTCTTCTGATCGCTTTGCAGCAAAAGCAAAGCACTCATCAGCCGCTTTGCAACACTGGGGACTAAGAGGTTGCTATGTATCTCAGGTACAACGGAAAGCAAAGAAGGATCACAGCTCCAAGATAAATGTTTGCAACAGTCTGAGTTCCTCATGCAATTAAATCTCAAACTGGTATGGCATTATACGACGCCTTCAGCAAGTGCGAAAAGCGTCGTAGAGCTTTTTAGCTGACGACTGAAGAAGGCAGATAACACCACACCATATCCACTCTTCTTTTCATGCACTTTCAAATGACTCCCCATAAGAACTCCATTCTAGCAAGTTTATCGCTGTGCGCAGCTTATTGCGTTCATGTGTTTCTGCCTATCTGTCCGCCCACAGCGATAATTGAGCTTCAAAAAAAGAAAGCTAGAAAGTTGGAATTTAAAAGCATTTCCCAGTAATCAGCTCTCAACTATTTGTACATCCTGGCATAAAGGAAACACAAGTTTGGCCTCATGCCAACAAAGATGCAACATGCAGCACGATATATGAATTAAATTTTTGATTTTATTTTTATGTTTTTACTTTAATCTTTCTACTTCCTTTTCCATAATCATAAAATATCTAAATTTAAATAATATTTCGAATTCTTGCCTTTACTAAGCTGCTTGCTACCATTTAAACCTAGGCTGGAACGCACCAGGCGAGCCGGAGCGATCATGCGTTTTTGCACAAAACTTGAA